GGCTTCCCCCCGTCAGCTCCAGCCCGGCTGTGGCTGCAGCCCCCTTTGCCAGCGAGACTGCTCCCTGCCAGCCACCCGGCTCGCTGCGCCCACCCCACCCTGTGCCCCTCTGGCTCCGCGCCGCCCATTCCCCGCACCACCCCTGCGCCCCACACCCTGCTCCCCGATCCCCCTGCTCTCCCTGTTCCCTGCGACCCTCTGGCTCTGCGCTGCCCATTCTCTGTGCCGCCCCTGAACCCCGGTCCCCGTGCTCCTCTGGCTCTGTGCCCCCTCTTCACTTCACAGCCCTTTTCCCTGTGCCCCTCTGGGTCTGTGCCCCCCATTCCCCGCACTGTCCCTGGACCCTAATCCCTCTGCCCCTCCCCTTCCTCACGTCCCATTCTCTGTGCCTCTCCTGCACCCCGCACCTTGCTCCCCCCAATCCCTGTGTCCCTCTGGCTCTGCACCTCCCATTCCCTGTGCCACCCCTGTACCCCCCACATTGTTCCCAGCACCCATTTGGCTCTGTGCACCCCAGTCCCCCTGCTTCCCCTGGTCCCCATGCTCCTCTGGCTCTGTGCCTCCCCTTACCCATGGTGAACCCTGCTCCCCCTGTTCCCCATGCCCCTCTGGCTCTGCATTGTCCCTCCACCCTGCTCCCCCTGTGAGTCAGGACTGAGGGGTGCTTGTCCATAGGGAGGGGCTGGACAGGACAGGGAAAAGGCTGCTGTGACCTAGCAGCGTGTGAAAGGGGAAGGGGAGTTTACTGGAAGCGCCTTTGCCTTTATGGAAAAAAATAATTAAAATTTTATTTGCTATTTTTAGGGCTTACATGGACCACATACGCGAGACAAGAGCGGAGACTGAACGCCTTCCATCTACGAGGTCTGCGCCGCATCCTGGGCATTACCTGGCAAGACAAAGTCTCCAACTTCGAAGTTCTGACTCGAGCCGGCCTCCCCAGCATGTACACCATGCTCCGACAACGTCGCCTGCGTTGGCTTGGCCATGTACGCCGCATGGAGGATGGGAGGATCCCAAAGGACATCCTCTACGGGGAACTGGCATCTGGGAAGAGAACCACAGGGCGCCCGAACCTGCGATTTAAAGATGTCGTGAAGAGGGACATGAAAGCCATCGACATAAACACGCAGTCCTGGGAAGACCTCGCAGCAGACCGCCCAAAGTGGAGGGGCACCCTGACCACACAGCTCAAGTCAGGCGAAACGAACATGATGCGTGCATCAGAAGAAAAGCGAGCCCGCAGGAAGTTACGCAACAACAACAGCCAGGGAACCACCTATAGCTGCGACTTCTGCGGCAAAGAATGCCTGTCCCGGATTGGCCTTTTCAGCCACCAACGACGCTGTCCCCGACGCTGTCCCAGACAATCCGACATGAACCAAGACGAGAACTAGGATACGTCATCCATGGTCAACTGACCGACGGAGGCCAACAACATGCCAGGATGAAAACAAAAACAGCAAAACATTGCAAAGTGCAAACGTGTGTAAAACCCAACAAAAAAAGGGGCGGGGCAAAAAATTGTTTGCTTGGGGCAGCAAAAAACCTAGAGCCGCCCCGCGCCCAAGAGAGAGCAGAGCCCTGGGCGCGCAGGGGCTGAGGACGTGGAACTCTCCCCTGTGGCTGCGGCTGGCGAGCACTCAGGGGAGGTCCCAGGGCCCAGACATGGGTGTGATTCACATGGGCCCGGGGCCTCGCGCCCACTGACCCGGAACGAGGCAGCGCCTCCAGGCCAACGCGCTTCAGCGCAATCGGGTGGCACGGCGTCGTTTCCATGGCAACACAATTCGCAGCGCTCCTCCGTGATGTCATTCTTGGCCCGGCCGAGGGTGACGTCATTGCCGGATGACGTCACGGGACAGTGAGGTTTCCGTGGCAACGCCATCTCCTGGGCGACACTGTACCCTCGCAATGGCGGGCGTCGTTTCCATAGCGATGCGACTCTAGCTGGGAGGGCGGGGGAAGAGCGAAGTCCCGCGGGGGCGGGCCCAGGCGCCTACGAGAGCGGCTGGGTGGGGGGG